AGCTGAGTTGGTTCTGAAGGGAGAGGGAGGGAGTTACGAAAACACGAAGAGCTGGCATTGTACGCTGCAGCAGTTGATCTTGATACGTTTCCCTGGGCTGTTGCAGGAAGATAATGGAGATTTTGCCTTGGAGGAGCGAGCGATCCATCTCCCGGCAGCGTTTTGTCAGGCAGCAGGCTGGAGAAGCACCATCTGCCTTTGTTATCTTTGTCATTCTCTCTTGGGGTTAGTGTTTATCTGCACTGGAAAGTTAATTTGGGTTCAGATAAAGAGCAGCGGAAAGCGCAGTGGCTCTTCTGGAATAACTGTGCAGATTAAATAGGAACAAGGCCTAGATTTCTCCCATCATTTTTAGGTGCGTCGGTGCCTACGTGCCCTGTATAGTCAGTGCCGAGAGGCTTCGTCCCAGGGGATCACTGAGCTCCTCTCTATTCCAGCTCACCCTCCTGGAGTGCCTGTCTGTCCCTCTCCTTGAGTAGAGAAGGGCATTTACTTTCTTAAATATAGTTCCTGTAGTCACTTAGTAAATGTGGTTGTGGAGGAGCCAGCCATGACCTTATGCATTCTCTGAACAGACAATGTGAAAGTCAGTGGTAAATTGCTCTATTCCTTCTGTAATGTATGAATTATAGAGAATCCTCTAAAAACAGCACTCATCCCGTGGCTTCACTAAGGGTCTTTGTAAGTCTTTGACTCTTTTCCAAAAGGGAAACTCTTGTAAATTACTAGGATACAGTTAAATGCCTGCCTATAATGATCATTTATAATTCATTGCTGCTGTGGTTGGCACAGATGTTTTCTCATCAAACTTTCTTTTCTCTAATTGAATCTAATTTTCTGGTGTGTTTGCTTTCCCCTTATTTTTGTACTCTTGATTAGTATCCACTCACAGGAGAAGTTTAGTTTAAGTATTTGTTTTTAAGTTTAGAGCTGAGAGGATTGAATGCTGTTTACTTATGGTCTCATTGCCAATTAGCACTCTGTTATTCACAGATGATGATACAGTAAATACGAGGAAAGCAGTATTCTTCTTCCTGTGAAAGCATTTTCTGTTTGGGTGCTATCATTTATATGCCATAAACTGGCGAGTCTGCGCACATAAAATTAATATTATTTTATTCAATACATGCTCTCCACATGTGCCTGATTATGTGTCCGGAGGATTTCAGTTGAACAGACTTCACATGTCCGACTATTGAATACACGTGGGTTTCTTCTGATCAGTTTTTATGTTACCAAGTCTCAACTTTTATATTGCTGAGCTGCTCGTAGTCAGAGTCTTATTCTGTTCGTTGCTACACAAATAAAGAGAGAAGCACAGTGCCCGTCCTCGGAAACTTGCAGGCTAACAGCCTACTCTGGAGCGTCACAGCAGTTTTGGTGGAGGCACCGCAGAACACAAATGTGGCGGCCATAATTAAGTCACATATCAGGTGTAGCCCAGTGGTCTGGCTTCACTGACCTCTTAAGGAAGGATACACGTCTATAGATGTTACAGACTTCTCCCTTCATCAATTTCTTGGTGAAGGAAAAGAGTTTCTTCCTGTTTCCCCGATGGGGAGTGTTTTCATTGTGTAAAGCGATGGTGGCTATAGGGCTATAGTCACTGGACATGAATCTGTTCCCACAGGCACCCATTTAATATGAGCTTAATTCCCTGGAGCCAGGCAGATGAATTTTAGGCCGTCAGGTTCATTGCTCTGACAGGCATCGGGTTGCACTGACAAAGCAGTGTGAGACTGGAATGCTCAACTGAAGTGAGACCTAGTATGAGTCTAGACTATGTATTTTTTCCTCATTTGAAAAAGCTCTATTTCCTTCCTTTACAGATAGTTTTTCGGCCAGCTACATGTCTCTGGCTCTAGATGGGGGGAAAAAAAAGCAGAAAAGTACACATGCCGTGAGACTGATTTAATAACTCTATTAAACTACAGGGAAGACAGAAAGAGCCAGGCATGAAGAACATTTGCCATCAGTTTTCCAGACCAACTTTTCAGACTTGGAAGAGGCAGATGGACACTTGATCTTTCAGACATTTGGCCCAGCTCAATTCCCAAGCCTCTTGAGATTCCTCCTGCTCCTCCTTCCTGTTCTCCTGCACCCTCCTTCCATTCCCCCCGAGAGTGAATTAAGTCAGTCACAGACACAAATGTGAATATGTATTTGTTACTGTTGGTACAGGTGTGGGGATCAGATCTTGAGGAGAAGTTTCCCAAAGTGTCCCTTTTCCACTGACTGTAGGAGCGTGCTGAAGCCTGCTGAGGGGTTGCTGTTTTCAGTATGAAATCACAGCTTATTGATAAATTACCCTCCGCTGGGAAGGAGCTGAATTAGGAGCATCTGACACATCAGGGCTGGAGAGGAGTCCTCCCGGGTGTATGTTTTATTCCTGCCTGCTGGCATAGCTGTGCCAGCCCAAACCATCAGAGCGGATATGCAGTAAGTGCAGAAACGCAGGGAAACAGCTGGCACTTCGTCCAGATCCAGGCTGCGGCCAAGACTCTCTGTCGGATCCCCCACATGCCCCATGGACTTATCAAGGAGTTCATAGTTAAAAGGAAAGACTTACTTGCACTTCAGATTCCTTGTGGAGTTTCTGATGCCATTTGAGGCAGATAAGTGTAATTGCTATTATATATGTTTTCGTTTGAGTGATTTTTCAATCCACAGTCTGATATTGTATCTCTCACTGCTGAATGTGATTACCATGACCCCAAGAAGACCTAAAGTACCAACTTTTTTTTTTTTAATCTGAATGAACTTTTTAGTCTATAAACACTTCAAATAAAATACCCTAGTGGCCTGCCATGGCTGCTGCTGATAGATTGGTAAACAAAAACGATGAATGAAACAGAGCAGTCCACTCGATCATTTTCTAACACTGTTGCAAATAAAATGCCTTTATTGTTTTCATGGCAGATGCCTTCCACTTTATGATGAACTGATGATGTTGAGTTGATTTTTTTTTTTTTTCCCCTCTCCCATTTCTCCTCTTTGCAGGCCAGATGATGTAATGCTGAAGCGCACCCATGATGAAACTGTCCTCTTGCACTGCTTCCTCTGGCCCCTGGTTACGTTCCTGGTCGGAGTCCTCATTGTGGTCCTGACCATCTGTGCAAAGAGCTTGGCTGTGAAAGCGGAGGCAATAAAAAAGAGGAAGCACGCGTGAGCAGAAGAGCTGCTGAAGGAAAAGAAGAAGTTGCAAGGAAGTCACAAGTGGCGAAACTCAACACACCTGCACTTCTCTGGGGTGCCCAGATGTGCTTGTTTCCAGTGTCTCCTCTGACTGTGGAGTTGCTGTTGCCTGAGGATTATTCTTGGGAGACTACCCCATGAAATGTCAGCTAACTGCTTCTTCTGCTATGACACTAAAAAAGTATACTCTACCAAAAGAATCTGCACTGCACCAAATATGCTGTATTCTGTTAGTCTTGAACAACAGCTGCCCAGCTCCCAGCTGCATTGAGAGACAGTTTCTGAGAACCCCTAATGTGATCAATGTCATCTCTGCAAAGTGATCTTTACTATTGTTGAATATTAAATATTTAAAATATTTACTTTATGATAGACTATTTCCAAAATAATAAAAGTTGGGTTTTTTTACCTTTGTTTTGTTTAAAAAAGCTTTAAGACAAAAATAACACTGTGCAGATTTTGTTTTTTTCACTGTGTACAACTTCACTTTAAAATTCAAATTTTAACTTCTGTCTAGACAAAATCCTTCATCATCAACTGCTCACTGTGAAGAAATGTAACAATCTCTTAGAAAGACTTCTTTCAAAAACCGAAAACTTAGCATTTATTGGAAAGGGTGATTAAATACTGGATCTAATTTCACTGCCTCAGTGGTGTTCAGTCCCTGCAGTTTCTCTTGTCCCCTCTCGGTTATCCTCTTTGCCAAAACGCTCTCGAGCCTTAAGGAGCAGGGGTTTGGTTTGAAGTGCTTTCACCTAAATAAGTTTTATCGGAGATTTTTTTTCTCCAAGTTGTGGAGTGATGTTTCTAAGTCCTTGCTCAGAGATGTCTGTGACCCTTGGTGTCACTTTGCCTTGCTGTGTTTAAAGTGAAGGTTTAAAAAAAATAAAAGATGAGACATCCACTGTTTGTAAGGCCATGGGTGTTTGCAGCTGAACTGCTCACCACCCTCGCGCTGGCCCCGTGCCCAGTCTCTCCAAGGGGATGCTCTAGAAAATGCCAAGCGGGCTGGACACAGCATCTTGTTCTCCTCTTCCCAACTTTTAGCTGCGTATGATGGAAATATTTGTCCTAGTCAGGCTACTGGTGAGTTCAGTGTTCAGTGCAGAGCTGTCTTTATCTCTGGCCTTATTCCCTAGCGTGCTGTTTTTCCAAGCCAGTTCAGTACCTGCCACCGTCCGGAGCTGAGAACAGGGTAGCTTCGTGCCATCCATTGCCACCGCCTGGGGGTTTTGCACCCGGCAGAGCCGATGTGTGGCTTTGCAGGGCTCATGGGCAACAAAGAAGAAAAGCCATGGGGATCGGCCAGGAAAATGAGTCTCTTAGTATGGGATTAACGTCAAAGCTTTTTAATCTACATTAACAGTTCTGCAACTCTAAACATACTGTTTGTTGTATTAATCTTTGTTCTTTGTATTGCTTTAAATATGTTGTGCTTCATTACCTTTTTAACACATAGGAAAGGTATTTCCTGAAGACGAAGAAGTGATGGATTTGAAAGCCTGTAAGCTTTGTTGTCGTAAGATGTAGTGGCAAACCTGTGTGTGCTGCCCTGTGTCCATCTCGGAGGAATCATATTATACATTTAAGAATTAGTTTCTGTAAGGCTTTTATATTTTGTAAACTTGTCACGCTGTGCTGCCCAGTGACTGGAAGGCTTCTATCTTTTGCTTATTTGCTTTATGACTCTTGGAAGGTCTTATGGTCCTGATCCACACAGATAGCTATTATTTTGAAGAAAGTTAAGGAAATCTCTTCGTAGAGCCAGAAGCTTGATGCTTCTGGTTTAGTCACTCTATATGAAAGACCAGATTAATGTTGGTTGCACACGGTAAAGCACTTTCACTTCTGTGGATGAAAAATGCTACTTGTATGAAAGAAAAATCTTAATTTTCTGCTTAAAGGATCGTTCATTCAGAGGTAAGTATTGTCGGGCTCGTACAGGTACCACCTGTCTCAGCCTGTGGGAAAGAGCAGCAGTTAAATCCGCTGCTGGGATGAACAGAGGTTGGTGAGCTTTCACGCTATCTCGTGAAAGCACGATGACTTTTGGAAACACCAACCATCCTGATGGCCAGGCAAAGGACACGGTGGTTCATTTAACTGCTGTCTCACTGCTGTGGCCTCTCTCGCATCCTCTGCAATGCTGTTGCCTTGGCCACTCACTGACACATTTCACACCTGTGTGTGAGTGTGCGTGTTTGGGAATTTGCGTTTGGGTTTTTTTTTGAAAATTTTCACACGCTGCAAATCATAGAAGACTGCCACTGTGGGGTGGTTTTGTTATTTGAGTAAGTTGGCAAGTTCGCCTCATCTGTTTCCTATCGATGATAAGTACTTACAGGTAGTGTGAACAACTGTTTTCTCCTGCATAGGCCAGTGCCTTGTCTTTCCAAAGGAGAGGGAGAAACGTGGTGACACAGATTCATCCAGATATTTAAGCCAGTAGCTTGGTGCTCACAAATCCAGATTAGCAAAATCCTCTCTATCTTTGCTCTAGAAGCTTTTGTGGCTGAATTGTGCAGCCGATTCTCCCAGCAAAAGGCAAGAAGTGAGTTGAGTTCACGTTGCCCGCTTGACGGGACGCTGCATCTTTCGGTCTGTCAGAACTGCTGTTCAGAGCGGCCTCTGGCAGCAAGTAACGGCAGCAAGAATGACATTAAACCATCTCGCGTAGCATTGAACATCACAAGTTAAACATCTGAACTGGCGTGCAGAGGCAGGCGGTAATTATCTCTCTAGCATGCTGGTGTGTGATGCTGAGGGGAAAAAAAAAAAATCCTAAAATTCACTCTTCTATCGCAGCTTATACTGTGTTGGTTTAAAAATGTCTTTCTAATCCCCGTGCTTGACAGAAGCTGGGATTTCCTTCTAGCAGATTACTCACTGATTTCCCCATTGGATTTGTGTGTTTTCTGGTTTTTGTTGAGTATTCTCTGAAGCAAATTTTCAACCAGCGTGTCTACTTTTTTGTCAGAGCCATCTGCAGAGTTGACTTCAGCGTTTTATTCAATGTTTGTACGCCGTTACTTTGAGGAATTTTGTTCCGTCGCGTGCTCTGCTGCTCAGCTTTGGTAGGAACTGCTCTCTCTTTTTTGGAGTGCAATTAAATAGCTGTGTCTGTACAGTATCTTTCTCTTGTGAGCTCCTTAGGCATTTTAAAAGTCCAAGTGCCACATCCATCGCACCTTTCCTCCTCTGTGTGTTTCCGTGCTCCTAATAACGGTCGAGGCATCGGAACGGATTAGAAAATTTAGCTACTGGATTAGGAGCTTAATTCAATGCCCGGAGCAGGTGAGGGAGTTTTGTCCAGGGGCGTTTTTAAAGGTCGTCACCTGCTATTTCTAGTGTGAGCACAACCCTTTTTATAGCGGGCCAGTATAGCCTGTGGGATTTGAAGGGCTTCACCCGTTTGTCCCGGCGATCCTGGGCTCTTCTTAGGTGCCGCAGGACGTAGCACGGGTCCCGGTTTCTAAGCCTGGTGGGGCTAGTTTGGATTGCCTCTTAGTAAAAGAAACGTGCTGTGCACACATCTTTACTCAGCACTGCAAATGCAGGTTCTTGCTACCGAAGCTGTGTTTCTGCAGACTTTAGTCTGAACGTTGTAAGTATTTTAAAGACAAGAATAACCACATGAATGAGGGGAGGACACCTAGAACAGTGTTCAATAAGAAAAGGGGGGGAAAAAAGCCTTGGCCTGTGGTTTATATTCAGTTAATTAGATGAAATGAAGTCCAGCCGCATTCCTAATTATGAAGCCTATTGTATCACATACTCCTTTAGCTGGAGTTACTGAAAAAAAAAATCAGTTTATTTCTGTGTAGAATTTCTCTGAGAAGCAAAAGACACTTCTTCCTCAGCACGGATCAGCTGCTGTTTCTCCATTAAATTGCAATCAGGAACAAACCTCTTCCCTTTCTGGCATCTTAAGAGGTTGCTTAAGCAAGCAACCTTTGCTGCAGAAAATACGGAAAGCATGCATGAGAAAACCTCAGAGGGAATATGTGTGCAATTAATCATAGCGCCTTGTCGGGTCACAGACCCACCAAATGAATCAACTCAAAAGTTTGATCCTGGAGAAGCTCTGCAATTTTCGTTATGGTTTGATATTCTAGCACAAGCACCGTAATTATTTGCACTGTGTTTAAGTCACCACTTTGCAGACATTGAATGCACGGCTGGCGATGCAACATGAAGAAAAAAAGTAGCCCATTAACTTATATAGCTGTAATTTGAATGTAATATTTTATTATAAAATAGGTTTAAATGGCTGTAAAATTGCATACACAGCTACAACACACAGTTCCCAAACAGTATATATATCACATATAGCAATCAGCTTGATATAACTTTCCAAGAAATGCAGTAAAAAGTACTTGAATCATCTTTGCTACTGTGTTAAAAAGAAGTAATCTGCCTGTAACTTAATGTAATGAGCTACAGCAGTGTCAAACATAACCCAAACTTTTTCATAATTTTTTGGGCTAGCTAACTTAAGGTTTATCCCTTTATTTATTTGCACATCAATTGCTGTTCGTTAACAATGGTAGGAAAAAGCAAATATTAAGCTCTTTTATAGGTGACTGCCTGTTCAGCAACTGGCAGCAATTGGTGGTTTCTGGACAGAATATGTCAAACGTGTTGGGCCCCATACAGCTGGGTGGATTAAACAGTCTAGGCAGGATCAGTTCAAGGAAAGGTGTGAGTAGCCATCATTTTGTTTCAAGAGCCAGATTTGGGGAAATTTCGTTCCCTTACTGTGGGGCTAGGACAAATCCAGAGTTCAAATAAGAAGCAATTTCTAATAACATCTGTCAGAGCCTGAGCAAACAGTGAAGCCCGCACCTTTCCCATGTGTGCACGCGCCGGAGGCTAGTGGGTCTGCGAGACACGGAGACCGCCTCGAAGCTGTCCCTAGCGTGCCATCGGGGTGCTATGGCCGACGTGGGCCGGGCCCCAGATATCCCGAGTGCTGCCGGCGCCTGGGGGCCGCGGGGCTCGGAGCAGGGTGTGGGGCTGGCCGGGGCGCACGAGGGAGCGCAGAGGCTACTGCAGCAGAAAGGCAAAAATGAACCTCCAGGATGTCTGTTAATAAGTTAAGGCAGTGAAACCTTTCATAGTATTAAAAAAGCCAAACTATCATTCCTTACATTATTCCTCTGGAAAGGAATGGGTCGAAGACAGTTAAAAATTGACCATGAAATTGTCCGAAAAGCTGTTTGTAGGCAGGGGAAGACGACTCTGGAAGGACTGAATATACGCCAGGCAGTAAAGCTAAACGGCAGGCA